AACTTAGGCATCAGGATTTCTATTTAATTGCATGTTTAACGCGCGTTACTATTTATAAACTTTCCCCGTCGATAGATAATTCCTAGCGAATCATAATCGTTGTTTGACTCGGAGGTTAAATAGAATCCAGAGAAAGCGTATACAGATAGTCGGATACTATATCCGTGAGTATTGATAAATCTTATTTAAGTCACTAATTGGATAGCGATTTAGCGATAGAGTTCCGCCGGAAGACGACTAAATCCCAAGGTCGTTACACGAACGCTCTCCCACGTGTGGCAATCCGACAGTTTACTGTAAGCTAAATTATCACAACATGTATGCATGGTTTTCCATGGCTATTTTGAAATACATTGCCCAATATGTACTAATTGCATTAATGTTCAATATCAGAAGGAATATCACACTCCACAAGCAAATACAAGGATCTAACAAGTATATGAAGATCACCCTGTGCCATTGCACTTATTATTATAGAATTTCCATAACTCTTCAATACATGTTCTGACACTAACATCATTGTTGCACCTGCATGAACATCAACCTAAAAACTAATTGTATATAATAATAATTATAATAATAATCAGTTTGTCTAAAAACCAGCAATAAGTTCATAGAAATTCTTCAGATTTTTGGTATCTCATCTGTGTAAGAAGTTGAAAGACTTTAAAAATGCCATCACTTGCACCATATTTAGTTTGATCTACCAATTTTAACCAATTATATGCTACTCATATGATCACGTGGTTGTTTCAATTTTGAATTAAGAACTTTAAATCCCTAAAACTTTTCACAAAAAATCTAATCAAAAATCTGTGTAAGAAGTTGAAAGACTTTAAAAATGCTTTTTCATCACGTGATTGTCAGGTATGGATGACTTGCACCATAGAATTTTTTCGACAAAAAATCTTTTTCTTCACTCCCATTTGGTCTTTCAGGAAGATTGAAGTTTAAGGAATTTTGTGAAAGTTGCAGCCAACCAGAGGTTGGTAGGTGTTTTGCTTCATAGGAATGCCACAAGTTGGAAAGGTAGATGTCATTGCAAGCGTTTCTACAACTTTGCGACGTTTCGCCACCTCTAAATCTCGCTCTGTCGATGCTCTTTTAAGTTTTTCTTCCAATAATTCTGTATTATCAATAGAGACACAAATTATTCATTTAGTAAACGAAAGAGTCTCTTCTCCCGAATAAGAAAACAATTACTATGTCTACTCTACCCTAAGTCTCACACTACTCTATATCCCCAACGCCGAGTCACAAAGTCGTTACCTGTGTCAGCTGCTGATGGCAGTTTCTTCTGTAAGTTCAGGAGTGCCGCTTCCAATTCATCTCTTCTCCTCTCAAGTGTCTGTTCCTGCCTCTCCAAGTTTGCCCGCTCACCATTCCACCTAGGCTGTGCCGTTCCACTTCTCAGCTCTTCCAGCCTATCCAACTTCACCTTCACGTCCTTGTATGCATTGGTTACTACTTCCAGCTGTTGCTCAATGGTGGTCATAGTATGGTTATTTTGCGCATTTACAACAAAAAAGATGTGCCGCGTGATGTGATCTAATACCGTAATATACTAATACTAACGCTGATCAGTGGCTTAATCAATGACGTAACTATTATTATTATAATTACGTTAATTTTCACAATTGCTGCGATTGTCCATTGTATGCAGAGTGACCAATGATAATTGATGCGCAGAAACACGCTTTTCGTCTACTTAAACATCATGAATAAACGATTTATTATCAGCACTAGTGGCTTATTTTCAGGAAAATCAACCACGCCTCAACAAATATCGTTTAAAAAGATAAAAAACTAGATTTAACAATTTTCATCTATAACGCTTTGCGAAAATGTTTACATTCACAAGTGAATTCTTTCTCGGAGTATTAATTGGCTTCGTTCTTGGCATGACCTGTAATAGCCAACTCCACTATATGAGAATATTAAGTGGGACTAAGAAGTCCAAAAAGTTATCAAAAACGAAAACGTATGGAGCAATTTTTTCTCCTTGAGCTTTTTTTAGAATGCTTCTAATAGTGCTGTAATTCTTGGGTTCATACACTCCCTTGCTCTTCCTTGTATTTAAGAACTATTCGCATATAAAAATGGGGTGAGTTTTGGGTGTAATTGGTGTACTGATTCTATAACCTATTGGTTTATATACCTTGTCAATTTTGTTAATAGTTTCTCTAAGCACAGCAGCATGACGTTTGGTACATAATGAAGAATGACCTTTAGAATTTTGTCTTAAAACTACACCAGAACTCACCTTATTCCCTACACAAATTTGATTTTTAAGCAACCCTCTTCTAAGTGTTTCCATTTTGTCACAAAGATTACAAACTAGTTCACTTCCTTCAGCACTTTTGGGGCAAATATAACTAGGAGTGTTATCATCTTTTCAAGTAAAGTGTTCATTACGGCATTGAGAACATTTGTGTTACGGTCGGGAATTAAATGGGGGTTCTGGGAGAGCAATTTATCTTTTCGTGTAGGTGTGTTCGCCGACCGGGGGATGTTACCAGGCTTAGCTCATACTATCACCCTTACTACGATAGTTGTGCAATTAAGACTGAATTAAGCCTCAAGTGACCTATTTTAATTATGCACGCTTCTCACTCCCCATCCGAGTTTCAAACACTCGTGAATACAAATAAGGGTACCTCTAATAGAATAATAACAACAATTATTCTATTAAAGA